TTCTGAGGATCCAGGTTCAAAGCCAGCCTAGCAGAAAAGTCCATGAGCCTCTCATCCCCAATCCACTACAAAAAACCAGAAGTGGAGCTATGGCTCAAAGTGAAAGGGCACTACACTTGAGCAAAATGAGTTTAGAAAAAGCAACAATGCCTCACTACTGACAAAAATAGAAAAAGAAAAAAGAAATCATGTTTCTATAAGCAAAATGTTGGTTGACAGCTACCTCACATGCATGAGGCCCTGGGTTCGATTCCTTAGTACCACATAATCAGAAAAAGCCAGAAGTGGCACTGTGGCTCAAGTGGTAGAGCACTCCCCTGAGCTGAAGTGCTGAGGGGCAGTACTCAGGCAGGGAATTCAAGCCCCACAAACACCACCAACAACAAAATGTTTGTAATGGCTCACTATTCTGTCAAATATTTGGGTGTATAACTAATCATGCTATTAATTAATAATATTTCATGGAATTCTTTTCTTTTTTCTGTTGGTTCTTGGGCCTAGCCTCAGGGCCTGGGTGCTGTGCATGAGGCTGTTTTTGCTTAAGGCTAGTGCTCTACCTCTTGAGCCACAGCTCACTTCTGGTATATGAGTGGTTAATTGGCCATTTCTGCCTGAACTGGCTTCAAACTGCAATCCTGATTCAGCTGGTTTGGCTAACATTTACATCCTTGTTTTGTTTTTGTGCTAATTTTTGTGTCACAATAAAATCCATAATTTCCTAGATATGGAAGAGATGGCCGGAGCCGACATTGTAATGGGGGTGGCCTTCCTCACTCAGAGTGCAGCTGGGGTCCTGGGAAACTCCTGTCTCCTTTGTTTTTACAGCTACACCCTTCTCACTGGACAGAAGGTGAGGCCCACAGACCCCATCCTCTGCCATCTGGTCTTTGCCAACAACTTGGTTGTTTTGTCTGTTGGGATCCCTCAGACCATGGAAGGTTTTGGATGGAAGTACTTCCTGGATGATGTTGGATGTAAAGTTGTTTTTTATTTCTACAGAGTAGCCAGAGGGGTTTCTCTTAATGCCACCTGCCTTCTGGGTGGCTTCCAGGTCTCAAAGCTTTGCACTAGAAATGCTTGGTGGAAGATCACTAATAAATTCCCCAAGTGCTTTGGATTCTGTGGCTCTTTTCTCTGGATCCTGCATCTCCTGGTAAATGTTTCTGTGCCTCTGAGATTGATTGGCCCAAGACCCAAACAAAATGTCACTCTCCATATGCATTATAGATACTGTGCCATAGGAGCAGTCCCACCAAAGTCATTTGTACGTTTATCACAGATGGTCTTATTCTCTTCCATTGATGTTATGTGCTTGGTTTTCATGATGTGGGCCAGTGGCTCCATGGTCTTTGTTCTGCATAGACACAAGCAGAGTGTCCACCACATTCACAGCCAGATTCTCTCCCGAAGACCTGACCATGAGGCCAGGGCCACCCGCACCATCCTGTCCCTGGTGTGCATGTTCGTCTCCTTCTACTGCCTCTCTGCCATTTTCACTCTTTGTGTTGGTCTACATACGAAACCAGACTTGTGGCTTGTGGACATGGGTGTGTTCCTGGGTGCATGTTTCTCAGTCCTTAGTCCCTTTGTGCTCATCAGCAGTGACACTCGTATAACTCAGGTGTTTCACTCCTGCAGAGAATAAAAGATTTTCATGATTTGGTTAACCAACCCATTGCATTCAATTTCCAGGTGGTTCATAGTTTTGTTTTTGCAGCAGTGACATTTACACACTATGCTCTGCACTGCTAGGGCAGGGGCTCTACTACTAGAGGCCTGCTCTAGTCCTTTTTCACTCTGGTTATTTTCGAGCTATACCCTTGATTTATACCCAGGTCAGCTTGCACACTCATACTCCTATTTTGTGTTTCCTGAAGTACCTGGGATGACAGGTATGAATGTAGATGCTGAGACTTTATAGTTTAGATAGAGTCTTGGGGAATTGCTTTTGCCCAGGCTGATCTCTCACTGCAACCATCCCAATCTCATCCTCACACATGACTGAGATGCTGGGTGTACACCTTCACAGCCAGCTAGTATTGGAGTGGGGATCTTATGAACTATTTCCCTGGGCTGGCCTTGGATATGAATCCTCCTGATTCAACCTTGCATGTGTGAGCCACTGCCTCTAACTTGGATCAATCTTTGAGTAACATTATTATTATTATTAGTTGTTGTTGTTGTTGTGGGGCTTGAACTCAGGGCCTAGGAACTTTTTCAGAGCTCTTTTGCTCAAGGCTAGCACTCTACCATTTTGGCCACAGTGCCACTTCAGATCTTTTCTGAGTAGTTTATTTGAGAGAGAAGTGTTATGGCCTTTCTGCTTAGGCTGGCTTTGAATTGCAATCCTCACATCTCAGCCTTCTGAGTAACTGGGATTGCAAGCATGAGCTATAAGGGCCTGGTAAAAAATTTTATCTTTAGAATTATTAAAGGGATGTGTTATAGAAGGTGTTATGTAACAATCATTGTGGAACTGACTGAAAACAGGATATGGGAGTATCTCAGCGGTGAAGTTCTTGCCTATGCAAGACCCCAGATTTGTTGCCTGTACCTCAAATAAAATTAAGTTAAAGAAATCCTCAATGTAGTTAATGTGGCCTAATGATCTTTTACTGTTAGTTCACTAAACAAATATAGTATAAGGTACAATTGATAATTTGCAGTAACTGGGATACCAAAACATGGATGCTTTCACCATATTATGCAGGAAATACAGATCATTTTCCTTCATTACTTCATGAATTGTGCTAAGTGTAATGAGTGCATGTATTAAACTTGGAAATAAAGTTACATTCTTAGCACAAAACAAAGTGTTATTCCTTATTGTTTTGTCACATAGATACCTGAACACATATTACCTTGAAATATATTTAGATCTAGTACCTTCAGTTAAGAAGAGTATTCTGGAATGGTCTTTCTTGTGGAATTTCAGAGATCTGAAGACATCTGCCATGTTTGACCTGGACCAGGAGACATGGTGTCAGGTCAAGCAGTAAACTTGTGTCACTGCTGTTTCCTAAATGTAACCCGGATAAGTCCAGAATTCCATCTTGTCCTAAAATCATGACAGACTCAGTGTGAGGCCTAGCCTCATGCATAATATCAGCAGTCATCCTAAAGATGATTTAGTCAATGTTCAAGTAAATTGTACATTGCATTTGACAAAGTTTCACAAGTTTTAGTTTTATTCAATTACTATAATCTGTTACTAGAATATATATCATTTCATAGTGATGATTCAAATATAGGTAAACAACTGTGTATGATAGTGTGTGTGTTTGTGAGTGTCTGTGGGATTTTCTGTGTTGGGAGGCTTTATAATACAGATGTAATCTCTTCTTTAGTTATTCAGATTTCTTGCTCTTTCTTGAATCAATTTTTCTTTTCTTGTTCCTTTTTTTTTCTGATCCTTGTGCTTTAACTTAGGTCCAGGGTATTGTCCCTGAGCTTTGCTGGATCAAGTTAGTGCTCTACCACTTGAATCATAGTGCAACTTCTGGTCTTTTCTGAGTAGTTTGATGGAGATAAGAGTCTGGTGGATTTCTTGTCATGGCTGTCTTCCAACAGCAATCCTCAGATCTCAGTCTCCTGAGTAGCTATGATTATATGTTTCAGGAAACAGTGTCTGCTTTCTAGAGTCAATTTGGACAGTAGTTTTCCTAGAAAATGACAATCCTAATTATATGTAATTGTTAGAATCCATTCTGTGTGTGTGTGTGTGTGTGTGTGTGAGTGTGTGCCAGTGTGTCTGTCTTTCTGTCTTTCTTTCTCTTGCTTTTTCTGCATGTACCAGGATGTGAATTCAGGGCCAGTGGTAGTTTTAATTCCTTACTCTGCTGTTCCTCTACTACTTTAGCCATGACTGCAGCCCAGAATTTTTATGTTGTTTTTATTCTGCCTTGTGATGCGCCATTCTATAGGTTGGAACTCATAGCCTGGGTGCTGTCCCTGAGCTTTTGTGCTCAATGCCGGCTCTTTACCATTTTAACCTCAGGTTTACCACGACCTTTTTTGTGGTTATGTTGAAATAAGACTCTCAGAGGTTTTTCTGCCTGGTCTGGCTTCAAACATTAATCCTAAGACCTCAGTCTCTTCAGCAGCTAAGGTAACAAACATGAGCCACCTGTGCCCAGCTTATAGGCTATTTTGGAGATGGAGTCTTGAGGACTTTTTGCTTGCTCTGATTGTAATCTGTGAACCTCCTAATCTCAGCCTCCTGAGGAGCTAGGATCTTAAATTGAGCCACCTTTCTTGGCTCTCTTTTGCATTTGCACAGGTCAGGAATCAGGTGTGCACTTCCATTTCTGCTTCAATACTTTGAATCATCTGGTTTTCTTTTGCCATTCTCAGTAAAAGTTTTGTGCAATTCTTTGGTCTTTTCAAACACCCAACATTGGGGTTCACTGACTTTTCTTCCTTTTTTATGTCAGTAGTGGGGCTTGAACTCTGGTCCTAGTCATTGTACCTGAACTTTTCAGCTCAAGGCTAGCACTTTACCACCTGAGCCACAATGCTACTTCCTGTTTTCTGCTGGTTCATTGGAGATAAGAGTCTCACAGACTTTCCTGCCTGGCCTGGCTTTGAACTGCAATCCTCAGACAGCTTTTGTGTAGCTAGGATGAGCGACTGCTGCCTGGCTCAGATTTTTCTATTGCTCTTTTTATAGCTTGCATTCATAGTTATGCTCTTCTTTCCTCTCATATTGTGTTTATCTTGCTATTTATCTTCGTACTCTGTAAGGCGTGATGACAAGTGGAGACTTTTGGGTCTTTCCCTTTTTTAAGGTCAAGATCGAAGTTTCCCTCTCCGCACAGACCTGGTTTCTATGTTCATATACAGTAGCTCTTAGATTTACGCGAAATGGTCATGCCGTGTTCAGAGGAAGACTGTATTCTCTATCTCAGAAGTTCCTGTATTCTCTGTCTCAGAAAGTCAAATGGCTGGAATAAGTGAGCATGTGGGAAGTTTATGAAGATTATGTGGAAACATTAAAAAGACTGTTGTAAAACATATTTCTCAGCATAGATCATTTTAGCTTCGTTAACCATCACATAATACATGGTACTTCCACTTGGGATATTGTCTTATGTTTTCCACAATCCTGTCCTGAAACTTGAACTCAGTCCATGGGTACTGGTCCTGAGCCTCTTTGTGCTCATGGTTAATGCTCAACCACTTGAGCCACAGTGCACTTACAGCTTTGTCTGTGTAGTTTTTGTTTTGTTTTGTTTTCTCAGTCCTGGGGCTTGAACTCTGGGACTGAGCACTGTCCTTCCCTCAGCTCTTCAGCTCAAGCCAAGCCCTCCACTACTTGAGCCTAGTGCCAAATCTTTTTTCTAGTGGCTTATTGGAGAGAAGAGTCTCATGGACTTTCTTGCCCAGGCTGACTTTGAACTGTGATCCTCAGACTCAGCCTCCTGATTAGCTGGGATTACAGGTGTGAGCCACCAGTGTCCCTCTTGTCTGAGTAGTTTTTGGAGATAAGAGTCTGGAACTGTTTTTCCTGTGCTGGCTTCAAACTGCAGTCCTCAGATCTCAGCTTCCTGAGTAGCTAACATTATAGGCATGAGCCATCAGTGCCCAGCTTGCTTATTTTTTGACATACTGGTTTTCTAAACCAAGGAATCACATCTTGGAGAGAAAAGGAAAAAAAATTAGATAAAAAACTCACCAAAGCCATTTGCTCAGTTCCATGCTCTCCTTACAGAATAGATTTCCTTCTACTCACTTCTTATGAGATCATCTTCAAAAATTTTCCCATATTCCCTGGGTCATATCTGTTGGAAATGGCCATGGAAGTTCAATGGTGCTCATTAGTATCCACAATTCTACAGCCTTTATCACAGGGAATCTCTGTTCCCCACATGCACAGTGTCACTGCACTTCCAACTGACATGAATATCTTGCCCACATAGGAGATAAGATCAGGCAGTCCTGAGCCTTTATTGTGGAACTTAGTGGCTGAGCACACTTGCTCTATCCTCTGTCCTGACAGCCAGTTCCTACTGGGTGAGCAGCTATTCTTCTCAGGCAAGTGACAGTAGTCAATGTAACCCATCAAAAAAAGGCAGAAGTAACTTCTCTGCAAAATGCGTGTGCTGGGTGGGGTTAGAATGAGGTACATGTCTTGTATTTTAGGAAAAATGTTTCATGAGAATCACAGCCTCTCTCCTCCTTCAGTTAGCAGTCCTGGTACAGCTTCACACCCCACTGCATTCTGGAAACCACACAGCATTGTGTGCTCAGGGGTACAGCATTCTCTGCTGAAATGATCTAACACCCATCTGTATTTTTTGGTCACTGTGTAATATGTCAACATGACCTCATTACTTTTAAAGTAATCACCTATTGTTTGAAGATAAATATTGGAAGTAATTTTGTAAAGGAATAAATTCTGACATGAAAAATTATGATCTGAATGTAAGAAGCCCATTGACTTTAATTTAATGCCTTGGCTTGTCATTCCTATTTGAGCCAATTTCCTCAGTTTGTTCTCTCTCTCTCTGCCTTCTCTCTCATTGTCCTTGTACTCATCTTACTTGAGGAGATTCTTTTATTTTCTCTTGGTAATAGGCTTTTATTCTGGGCCTCAGCTCTGTCCCTCAGGCTAGCACTCTACCATTTGAGCCACAGGCCCACTTCCAATTTTGTTGGTGTTTTT